GGGGGCAAGGGGGTAATCGGGGGAGGGGTGTCCGGAAGCGGTGGGTTTGTGTGATGTGTTGTGTGATCAGGGTTCCCCATCTGATCAGGATGGGCACGGTGTCACTGAGGTGAAGGGACTACCAGAACTGGTTGTCTTGGTGATTGTCGGTGGAATGCAGGTAGCATTTTCCAATGCCATCTGCGTTCCTCCGTCCACCAAGGTTTCCATATGAGGTTCCGGTCCCCATCTAACGACGCAATCTTCCGTCTGTCTCTTATACACATCTAGATGTGTATAAGAGACAGCCCTAGCACTATTCCTGTTTTTATCTACCCATCCTGCCTTACAGACTCAACCCTAGTATCAACTTCATTCTTTTTCATACCGAACACTTGAGACCGAACTCAGCACTGAGGGGGGAACTACCCTAGTCTCAGCTTCATTCATACCCATACCAAGCTCTTGAGACCATACTCAACGCTGAGGGGGGAAAGGGGTCTGGAAAGTCGGATGTCGAGCTCCAAATCCCCTTGGGACTGCAAGTGGTTCCCAACCCTTACTGAAGCTCCGTCATTGCAATGTCTCTACCCCCTATCGGAATTGCAGTCCGTCATTCTTGTCTCTCCCCTCCCCTTAGACCTGACAGGCTCTATCAATTCCCATTTTGTGCAGCCCGACTTTCTGGTCAGTGCTGAGGTACATGCACCCTCTGCCCTGTGGCGGGTCTTTATTCTAGATCCTTTGTCCCTGTGTTTGGCTTTGATCGATGTGCTTGTATGGTTCTTCTGATGGTATATCAGAGCACTACCTGGCCCTGTGGTCCTGCTGTCCCCTCCCCTTAGACTTGTCTGGTCCTGTCAGACTCAGTTCGTGGTGTGAATGCTGTTGTTCCGCTGGTGATATGTCTGATTGGTACTCAGAGCAACTACAGTCCTGTTGATGCTACCATCTTCACCCGAATACAACGCCCGGTCATTATAGCTGTACCTGTCTCTTATACACATCTAGATGTGTATAAGAGACAGGAGCAACTACAGTCCTGTTGATGCTACCATCTTCACCCGAATACAACGCCCGGTCATTATAGCTGTACTTGGCATAACTCCCAGTCCAGATACACTCAAAATGACCGGGCGTTCTATTCGGGTGAAGACGGTAGTCTACCTGTCTCTTATACACATCTAGATGTGTATAAGAGACAGCTTCAGCTATTTTGTGGTTCGGATCTATCCACTTTTCTGTAAAGGTCGCGATCAGCTTTTGCTTACTGTCTTGGTCGGGGGCTACACTCACTTTT